TGGTCCTAGAAGAAATTGATGATAATGACGTTATACGCCACTTATACATCACTCAAGTACCTCACTCATTTACCTTTCCGGTATGCCTTGTGTCTGAAATACTTATAATTATGACTCTCCTTTTTGTGTTTATGAGTTATTCGTTTTTTTGTTGGCTGGTTGATTTACCGTTTTCAAATTTATAACTTGATTATCTCAATACTTGTTGTTGATGTACACGAATTGAATTTTTAAATTTAAAAAATCATCTGATAACGTCATCATGACGAATTTCTTCTATACTATCCTTGCATGATTGTCTAAAGATATATGGAGTATGAAGTCAGAATTTATAAACTACCAATCGTGTTGTAGTTTGTCTGGGAAGGTCTTCACTGGTTGCAGAAATGAAACCCGAGCCGAAGCAGCTGTGTTAGTGCACAAATACATTTGGTAATCTGCATCCTTAAAACTTCGTGTACCGAGGTATAGGAAATTGAATATTCATGCCTTTGTTGGTGCTTGATATGATTTCATGACAACATCAAATTTAATGCTTGCGGAGTTGCTTGCATTACGCGGTGTGCCCTAAATCTATATGTGCAGTCAGTGCCCTTCATGAACGCTTTCTTCTGAAGTTATTTTGGGAATAAATAGCCCACTTGTTTACAAGATTTTGTGTTTTGTTTGAATCATTTTCATTTATGGGATTTCTCGATCACGCCCTGTGATGAAATAGCGCATTTTGTTCCTAATGAACTCAACTTTCCAGTAGTAGTGAACAGTTTGTTGGAGAGTCTCAGCCAAATTTGTACCAAGTCTTTAAACACTGATGTATTGGACGGAGGAGAATAAAATTCCAAACTTTGCATGGATAATGGAACAGTGTATCAAAATTTATAAAGTTTATTTATGATGGCAAAAGTATACGTATAATATCAGGAATGTTTTCTCTCTCTATTTCCTGGTCACATCGATTATTTGTATTAAATTGCAAGCAAAAAACTACAAGTACTGCTAGAATATTACTAGCCCCGTTTGTCCGGCCAAGATGCTTGCGGTAGTCAGGCATTTTTGGAATGTTTTCTATTATTCGCCTGACTCAGCGGTGACCATCATTGAACACTTGGAAGTGCCTGAGTTGCAACTCCTTCTGTGTCCTTCCTCTATGGTGCAAGTAGGCGCCTTAACTCTAAAAATAAAAACTGCTTCGTTTTATGTCAGTAGGCAAAAAGGAAAATTTTGAATCCGATCAGAATTTAATCATATATTTCTTTTCCTCTTAAAAGTACTGAATTAGGTACAGTGGTTTATACAAACAAAATAATCGCGATTTTTTTTCTAGAGAAAAGTCGAGAACAGTCCGTATTACATCCATGCAACTGAGATTGTACGTGTTTTGCACTGGAGACGCTCGCAGTTGTAGATATGTAAATGTCCGTGGTTGAACAATGCAAAGGGACATTGACATAATTGTGACCAGTTCTGAAAAATCGATGCACGTAAGGACAAAGTGTTTCGGTCAAATTAAAGTATGTGAAGTTACTGAACACATAGGACTTTGACTTTAAGTACAGCAGCTTTCCAACGGGAGAGCTGGATGGAACCCGAAGATGTACGGCAACTGCGACGACCCGACGACTACATTATGGAACGTCACGGTGGCCTTTAATTCACCTTGAATATGAGAAGACGAATTTATCACATAGGAAATATGAATTCCCCCCGGCTCAATTTTGTTCTGAGTGTACAGAACCTAAAAAATAATTTTGAATTACCTAATTATTATATCATTTAGCAGATTGAGGTTGTTGAGGTATATGCTTAAACGTGGCGTCCATGTTGTTCCGCAGTTCAACAATTTCTTCTTTATCCTTTCAGAAGCATGACGGACACAATAGGAAACCATGCTTCTAAAAACGATAACTGTGAACAGAAGGTAACTAGGCACGATTTCTGTTTGCCATTTTACGTGCACATATGAACTAAACATTGTTGATTTGAACATAGAAATTTGTAGCTCTATGATTTGAGTGATCGTGCACTATGCCAGAAGTCCATGTGTTCACTGATGCGTTCAAAGATCCGTGGGAAGGATTTTTTTACATGACTTACAAAGCAAGGCAACTCCGACTCAGCTTTGCACTTTGCAAAGTAAACAAAAAACCAACCTTGTCAGTATCTTTTCTACGAGACCAGCCGTCTGCAAGCGAGCGGCCATAATGCATGAACAGAAACGACGTGGAATCGGTGGCACATTCTGCCGAGGAAGAAATCAAGGGTAAACTACCTATAGACCCACGTTTCTGGGTAAAGAAATTTTGGAACCATAACACATGAACATTGTTTAGACCTATAAGAAAAAAAAGGAGCCCTGGCGCCAACACGAGACGATCTTATTATCTTTAGTTAAGTGGACTTATGTTTGGTTGTGAACGTTGCTGTTTTTCTTTTTACGGATTTACTGATCCTCGTTACAGCAGTTGGTATTATCATTATTCAGGCCGTTAGAAAACTGTACGAGTCAGCATTCGGATCATTTTTTTTATTTTAAACAGGGTCATCAAATAGAACTATAAAAAAACACATCAGTATAGGCAGGCTGAATGTTAATTCCTGATTTGCAAAATAGACAACACTTCACCGTCACCAAATTTACTTCGTGGGAAATAAAAGTCCAGAGAATGCTAAAGAGGAACTGCACAATCGCTCCATTTTTTTTTTTTTGTAGTTGTTGAATTTTTTTTTTTGCGACGATGCAATATGAGCATTGAAACTAGACATTTTCGAAACGGTCCACGCTGTACTTTATAACACAAACGGTTTTTACATGTATTTTCAGAGCAATTATTCTTGCACTGGAGACAATGAGCGGGATAAGGTGAAATCAGGGTCACGCTCCATAATGCAGTACGTATGCCATTATTTTATTGTAGACGTAAGAGTACCCGTGCCGACAAAGTATTGTGCATCTGAAAGCGCGTTTGACTAGCGTGAACTGCACGGAGCTGGTTAGAAAGAACAAAAACTTCCCAGCTTTAGATCTTCATGTTCATTGAAAACTTATGAGAAGCTCATTTCATATTTCAAAGTGTCTCAGTCCTCCACATGGTCGTCATTTGGTTGGATACAAATCTGGGCTCGAAGCACCATTTCTGTAACTGAACGGCGAATCATCTGTCCTTTTTTTCTGAAAATGTTCACTTTATGAGTTATCCTCTCCTGAGGACTTTCGACATTCGCTGGACGAGCTGTGGACACCTGACATTCAAACAGTCCAAAAGATAAATCTTCGGAGGGGGGGGGGTTCAGATTATCAGATCAGGAAATCGGATGATTTAACGCTGTGACTCAATTACTTTCCTCATGGAGATGTGTTACAACCTCTTTGTGTGGACAAGCACCGTCCTGTTCCCTGGCACAGTCCATTGTGCTAGGAGACATTGAGTGAACCACGTCCTAGTACGATAAACCTTTTTTCCTTGATTAATCTAAAAATATCAGCATTGATTACGGGTAAAGACTGATTGAGACCAATGGCCCAAACTACAGTCAACTACCGAGGGCAAGGAATGAGCGTATATATTCCATATCATTTTGAACCAAACTTTCACTACTTGATTGGACTCTTTGAGAAATACCCTGAACCAAAATTTTATGTCATTCGGTTAATTAAAGTTTTAAGATGGGGATTAACGAAATTTTGGACACTGGAGTACAAGCTTCCATACAGTCATGTATGGCTCACAAGGTACGTGTCAAATGCATTTGAAAACATGAGTCGCGTGATTGTATAAAGACTTGTTTTTTTGGATTCTGAACGGTCTAAAGACAGCGGACCTGAAAAAAATGAAAAACTTGCACTTTAAATCTACTTTAAAGAAGTAAAGTATTTTTTGAAACGTATTTAAAGAATAAAACTAAAAGTATATTGGATCGTGCCTTGCAGACCTCTCTAATCCTTCGTCTTTATATCCTCTTCATTCTTAATATAATTTTTGTTTCGCCGAGTAGAATGAAATATTTCACCTGTCACCGGTACACAAAAATTATTTTAAACACTGCACTCATCAACAATTTTATTTGTATACTATCATATTGAAATAAAATTGAAGTCAGACACAGTTTAAACCCTCGTTGATTCCATTTAACAATCATTCTTAGAAGATGTAGTTTCGAATTAGAGGGAGCCCTATGCTCCAAATGGAAATTCTGTAAAGAAAGCCTGCTGTAACATTGCACTCTTTAAAGGCAAAGAATGAAAATGACAATATCAAAAAGAG